ATAAAAGATGTTTAAAAGAGATCAGGGGCAGCAAATATAATGATTACTGTATTATAAATATTGTGACAGTTCAACTATACATTATCTATACAATATTCATCTATGGAGATATCAATAACACCAGCGCCACCTGCAGGATAGAAGGAACTATTACACTATTTACAAAAAAATAAAGCATTCAACATCAACAGCAAAATATAAATTAGGTTACAAAATGTAAAACACAAAGAAGAGTTATAAGTGTATGTCCAGCCAAACCTTTTTTTTTTTTTAAATGGATAGACTGGCAAAGGTTAGAAGCCCTGTCTAGTTTTATTGCTGTCCTGGGATTATACATATAGCAATTTTTAATCCATTTCAACCACCTTTAAAGAGGCTATAAACCCAAAAGAAAATGTTTATTATATTGCAGCTTACCATCTCTTAGATGTGGTAGCTGCATTCGTTTTATTTATTAGTCTTTTTTCCCCTTATTTTCAGCAAGTCTGTTGTTTTTCAAACGAACAAGCAGATGTAGCAGTTAGAGAGAGGATACAAGCTACTGGCAGGGGTGCTTACAATGATCAGCGTTTATTTATTTATATATAAAAGGAAAAGGCTGTGTTGCTGTAACTGCTTATAAAAAAATAGCTGGGGTTAGGCTTTAATTTGTTAGCGTGTCTAAATCTGCTAGTACCTCTAACACTCCCCTCCCCCCAGACTGACAACGCTGCTGTCCAAAGGTGCCCCCTGTGCTCCTTCTTCCAGAGTAGGGCACTCTAATTCAGGAGCATTTTTTGGTAGAAACATTTTTTAGAACTCCCAAACATTATATATGTTCTGAAAGCAGAAGCCCCAGAGAATAAAATGGTGGCTGTTGCAATTTATTATGCCAATTATCATATGCAAATTTTCAGCAAAGTGCTGTAAATTTGATTGGTCCAGATCACTGATCGCCAGCTGAAAAAACAATACCAAGATCATGACCAGCCATGACATTCTAATAACTACTTGCTGCCAGGATGTTTATATACGTACATCGGTCAGCAAGTGGTTTAAGTGGACCTTGACGGCTTACTTTAACAGAGATTTGGGGGCTCCAGGTTCTTCGGCATCCAAGGTGAAAAGACTGAGGTGCATCCCCACCCATGAGCTGTGAACGACTTTAGCAACATAGATTGCAGGTTCTGCCCTTTTTACAATCCCCTTCTGCCCATTCCTCGGTTTGGCTCTGCCTCTAGATGCCATACTTCATTGTCTAGTGGTAGTTTATCACCCTTAAATAGATTAAAGGTTTCTTTAAGCATACAAAAAACCCCAAAAAAAACAGGCCTTTTGGAAGTTTTTGGCCTTCGGGGTGAATATTACCATGTGGCACTTTGATGGTAAGGACAGATTTCTGTGGGCTGAAGAAAATGTACTCAATTAAAACAATTATATGGTGCTAGGTAGACTGGGGTGACAAAATGGGCAATATGGATGGAAGGGTCTAGTGATAGACCCATAGAGAAAAATTCCTATAAAATTAGAATCATGTGATGTATGTATAGGTCACTAACTGTCAGGAATGGACTTGACAATAATGGTGGGACTCACCTGCCTTATGGGCTGCAGTACCAGGGCTGGCCAGCGGGTGCTCTCAGCAATCAGAGACTCACCCCTGCAATCAGCCAAACACCTGAAATAGATTGCGGGGGTTGTATTTAAGGATAGGCCAAACTCACAGTCAGGGCCTTGGTGTGTGTTTTTCCATGGGCCCCTGTACCTTGTATCCTGTATTCCTGTTCCTGTCTGACTTGTTGCCAACCCATCCTGATCCTGACCTCTGCTGACTTTTCCTGCTTGATCCCTGGCTTGTGACCCTGACCATTCTCTGCCCGACCCTCTGTACCGCGCTGCCCGTGAGTTACTAAACCCAGCTTGTGACCCCGACCACTCTCCCGCCTGTTCCTGATACTCCGTTTGCCCGTTTGCTACTGACCCCCGGCCCGCCTGACTACTCTTTGTATTGTATGTATTGTTATCGGTGGGTGGTTTGGTTTGTTTGCACTGTGTTTATGTTTAATTTTGCACTGCGTTTTGTATTGTTAGTCTTAATAAATTATATTTTTTATACCATATCTGAAGCCTGCGTTTCCCTGTGTCAGTCCACACACCTCTGGTCATACCTGGAGCCCTGACACTAACAGCTCCACTATAACATGGCTGCAGCTCCTTGGAAGAGGATTGGATGCACACTCATTTCTGTAGCAAAAGTACAGGAGGTGTCACCACCTAAGTGCAGTATTATAAATCCAAGAGAGATAACATTGAGAGTTGACTCATATTTATTCAGAAAGTAAAAGCATAAAACATCGACTGGAGGACTGCAGAGCTCTTCAGGGTTGCGGTTGGGTCGGTAGAGCGAAGCCCGGAGGCACCTGGGAAAAGCATGTGGACCATGCTTGTGAAAGCGCTAGTAGTGTTGGGTACAGCCGAAGTGAACCATGCCTTCCTAGGGGGGTGTAGAACATTCGGCCAGTGAAGAGCTGGAGGTAGGCTGGAGATGCAGAGAACTTTCAATGGGAGGCATGGGGGCATGTTTATGCATTTCGAGGCAACAAGGACCACCCCTTTATCAAACCATCTACCAGCTCTTCATAGATGGCATATTCCATACTGCCCGAGGAAGGCGCGGTTCACTCCAACTGTACCCGCTCTGACCATCGGAAACTACCAGCGCTTTCACAAGGACGTCCATATGGTATTTCCAGGTGCCTCCGGGCTTCGCTCTACCAACCCAACCGCAACCCTACAGAGCTCTGCAGTCCTCCAGAGGATGTTTTATGCTTTTACCTTCTGAATAAATATGAATACAATTCTCAATATTATCTCTCCTGGATTTATAATACTACACTTAGGTGGTGGCGCCTCCCGTGTTTTTTCTTTTGCTAAAGAAAATGTACTACTAAAACAATGACATTCATATCACTGATTGATGGCCATGGTGAAAGGTGGGTGTTTCTAAAGGTTTACAGGGACAGACCCTTTTATAACTTCCAGCACTGGCTTCCTTTGTGGAACGTGGTATTTAATCACATGACTTCACAGAGCTGAAAAGGAAGTTGCTGCTGAAAGACAATCCTTTTGCAGGTCTGAATGAGTTATCCATGTAATATAAAAGTACAGGTCACTGACTGTGGGTCCTGCTCTGATCGATGTCTGGATGGTGAAGTATCCACCCCTGTCCTGCTCACTCTACTCAGGACAGGGGTGTAACCATGGATGATGAGGCCCCAAAGTGAAATTTTGATGGGGTCCCCTGGCAATTTCCATACTGTCTTTGATCTTAACTCGAAGGAGCAGTAGGGCCAAAGCTCCTTTGGCCCTACTTCTCCTGTGGGTCACAGAAATGCACTTAGTTCTGCACTCCTGCGACCCAGGTCACTCATCCAGTCCAGGCCCCGGAGCGTTCCTGACTTTAATGTTGGGATCCACCCAGATTCCTGGACCGGCAGTTGATTTGGCCTCTCCTCTCATCGATACGCCCCTCCCACCCCCTCCAAAGTCCAGCCCTCCAGTAAACACTGGAGGGGCAGAGCAGAGAGCCAGGGACTGACAGTCATCACTCCCTGCTCACTGAAAACCGAGAACTGAGCGATCAGCGGTCTTTGATCACTCATTTCTCTGTCCTAGAGACAGTGGCAGAGGAATGCAGCGTCAGACCAATGCTGCATCCACCTAGGTGAGTGTGCATGTGTTTATTTTTTTTAATTCCCATACTTCTCTTTTAAAATATGTCTTCCTCTAGGACAGGTAGCAGGAGGGGACCAGAGCTGTGGATAGAAGTTGTCAGGGTAGAGTGGGAAATTAACTTTTAACAACAATTTTCCATCTTAATTAACATCTTTCCCTCTAATAATCTCTCCACTGCCTGCTTTCTAGAAGCTCAGACAAGTTTTTTAAATTCAACATTTTGAATGGATGTAGAGAAGAGAAGACTGCAGATAAACAGGTACAACTTATGTAGAAGGATTGGTTTCATTTCTGTGTATCACCTGGGGTCAGTCACTTCACTGGGCATATGTAAGAGTTTACAACCACTGTAACTATACTTAAAGTTACTCCCACCCCCATTCTACGTCTATTCTATTACCCTGTAAAAGAACGATCTGCAAGCTTAACTATGCTGAGGGTGCTCCGGTCACAAGATTGGGCCCCATCGCCGGTTTCAGTCAAGAGGAAAGATCGCCAACAACAGCCGCAGAGCCTGCGCAATGACGTCACCCATCGGCTGAATATAGGGCATCTGTTGTCAGCACACCATCCTCTACACTGAAACCGGCATTGGGACCCAATCATGTGACCGGACTGGAGCGCCCTCAGAATATTTAAGTACAGGGCCTTTCTCTTAGAGAATAGGTGCAGATACTCCACCTTTCTGAATCACTTCTTGTACCCGTCCCCCTACCCACCTCTGAGCACAGTCCCTTGGGTCAACCCCCACCCACCTCCCAGTACCGCTCCTTTTAGAGAATACATAGCCAAGTATCATTTTGTGGTGCTATGTCATTTATATGAAATTTGTTAATGACAACAAGAAAAGCAGTAAAATCATACCTCCCAACTCTCCCTGATTTCGAGTGACTGTCCCTGATTTCGAGGGACTGTCCCTGATTTGGAACAAAGTCCCTCTGTCCCTTCTTCCTCCTCATTTGTCCCTCATTTTGGTCCAATCTATATAGTTGTATATAAATTGCACTATTTATCTTTCAAAAAGTGTTTCCCAGTGCTAAACTTTTAATCTAATTTCTAAATTGTTGCATTTATAAATATCACAAGCCAGTATAAAGGAATAGTAGCGGTAAAAAAAAAAGTATTTAGGTTTAACTAATGTTTTTTTTTGTGTCTAACTGTCCTTTAAGGGGGCGTGGCAGGGGCTGTTTCCTATGTCTACAGGCAGTTGCTAATAGGTGTCCCTTGTTCCCATCTCAACAAGTTGTGAGGTTGTCACTAGCTAAAAGCTTGTAGGAGGAGCTTTCTGCTCTAGGAGGATGCAAACCCCTGACCACTGTCCTACCAGTGGTGATTGGCCCTTTGCTGATTACATGTACTCTCCCAAGAAAAAAAAAAAAAACCTCTTTAGCAATACACACCAAACTGAGCATGCGCAGAATGGCTACGGTTCAGTCTGTCTTATCAGGAGATAAGAGGTGGTTGCTTGAAAAAGGGGGGAGGAACACAGCAGACAGGATCAAACAGTCTTTTTACACAATGCAGAGGATTAACCCCTTAGGTTCCACAATGAGTATAACAAGCATGCTTTACTGCATCTACAGACTGATTTCACTGTTGTGGGTTTAGTAACACTTTAAGTTAGTTAGTGACTAAATTTCCACTTTAACAAACAGTAATATTGAAAATAGCCATTCTGTACAAGACTGGAAATCACTTCTGAATACGTTTTTGGATCTTAGATTTATAAAATGTATTTCTACTTGGCTGAAAACACAGGAGCTTGATTAAAATCCGCTCAGCTGGGTCACCTATGAGGAGAAAGGCGGGATTCGTTTGTGTGTGTGTCCAGCTGTAAACTTCTTACTTTATTCTTTTATGCCCCACAGGCTGCCATCTTCACGGAATGGTTCCAGTCACCAAATGTCCAGGTGACAGCTGCTCTTGAAGGGTCTTTTCTTACATAATAAAGAAATAAATCCTTTCAGTCTCATCCAATCCATGCATAGGTGGGATTTTGCTTCTGTAGACCCTGCCTTCCTCCATTCAACTGGCCATACACGTTACAATCTTACTGTACAATTTTCTTTACATTTATCAAACCTTTGTTATGCAAGGCCCTACTTGAATGAGCTATTCAAACTGTATTTAAATTCCAACTGAGCTTTCAGTCTGCCTAAGCTAAATGTTCTTGGCGTATAAAAAAGGTAAAGTATTACAGTTCAGCCACAGCCAAGTAGAAAAGTCTGTCCCTTTCCAGCATGCTTTAGGCCTTATTCCCATTAGTAGTTGGGGGGGCAGTAAAACCCTTTGGTTGAGCCGTAATGAGCTTTGAATGCCCAACCCCCCCAGCTGCTACCTCCTGTAGCTGCATAGGTAGAGGGTGCACTTAGCTGGAATTATACCCCCAAGTAAAAGGGTCGTTCTGCAACTGTGTATAATGTGAGCAGTTGCAGTGTGCAACTAAGGGGTTCAAGGAGTTAAAGGAGACAGTGAGGAAGAGATACAAAACCTCCTCACTGCCTGTCAAACACTCTCCAAAGAGCAATCCAAACAAAGAAGGCTCTCCAGAAAACAAAGCTAGTGTGAACAAGGCCACAGAGAGGGACCCTTGCTCTCTGTGTGGAAGTAGTAGTCTCTCTGCAGAGCTCCGACATGCCCCTGCTGAGTCAAAGCTAGAGCTCCCCAACCAGCAGGGAGCAGGAGCTTTGTAGACTGGCAGAACAATAGGTCAGGTTCAGACCTGTGTTGTTGTCTGAAGGACATTGGTAGGAGATAGGCCAGGGGTGGACTGACAACTCATGGGGCCCCCGGGCAATAGGGGATCATGGGGCCCCTGTGTCCTTGCCCAAACTCAAAAAAGCCTATGAAAAAGGTTTCAGGGGCATCTCATGGGGCCCCCTACTGACCTCGGGCAGCGCCCGAGTTTCCAAATGGTCAATCCGCCCCTGATCTGGGACCTTCCTAGAACCTTCTTAAGGTTCAACACTGTACAAAAAAATTTATTTGCTGGCGTTGGGCTTTTAAAGTGTCAATTTTTCAGTTTCCTCTGCATCATGCCTCTCCGTATACAGTTCTCTATAACAAAGTTTAATACCTGGAGATGCCCCCAGAAGCAGCACTTTTTGTTGCAGGGTGACAATGCTAAGCCACTCCCTTGAAAGACATTAACGTTGTCAGCCAGCCATGTAGGCTCCTTCAGTTGGCTGTTGGGCTCTCTGGTGGGCCTGACAGCCAACCCAACGGCCATTTATAGGAGTGCACATGGCAACCAGACAATGCTGCAGCTAGGCGTGGTAGTGGCTAAGCATTGGCAGCCTGCAACCAGGGCCAGATTTAGATCTTGGGGGCCTGGGGTACTTCAGGTTTGGGGGGCTCGTCATACACAGAGTCAGTTTACAATCTCAATGACATTCACACATTTTAAAAATGCATGACACAACATCATTCTGAGGTCACCCTTACACACAAACATGCCATCATAGACTACCTTCCTTAACCTCTCAGTGCGCATACATGCAGCTGCTCGGCATGTGGGCCTTAGCACCTAGTGGCCACACCGTGCGGTCCCTGCATGATCCCAGCACGGTAGCCGGTGCTGATTGGTAAGCTCCAATGCAATCGTGAGCTTTCTGTTCATGTAACCGTGACAGCCAATCACAGCGGTCACATGATCCAAAGGCCCGTCTTCCCAACTTTTAGAACCCTAAAGGGTAGGGAAGCAGCTGGTACCAAAGGGTTAAGAGTGTAAGCTCTCTATGGAAGAGAATTACTAAAGCTGGAATGAGAAAAATCTGGTGCACCAGAAACCAATCAGCTTCCAGGTTTTATTGTCAAAGCTGAAGTTGGAAGCTGATTGGCTACCATGCGCAGCTACATCAGATTCTGGGTGCTCCATCTTTAGTAAATCTACACCTATGTGTGGATCACTTAAGCTGCCAAAATTCTTTAAAAAAAACCAGATATAATATACCAGTCTAGAGTAAAAACTTTTACAGAATATGGCAGGTAAAATATTACTTCCCGAGATACATTTAATGATAGAAAGTAATTTTATTATTTTATATTATTTATGTTTTATTACATTATATATATATTTTTTTGCTTGTTTTATATTATTTTTATATAAAGGGGTGGGGCCCTTCTCTCAAGGGGGCCATTGGCAGTTATCCCCTTTGCCTCCTTATAAATCTGTCTGAAACAGAAAGTGCCATCGCTGTCAGAATCTCCAAGTGAGGAATATTGTGCACAAATTTACAAAAAATAATTTGGAGGAGAAAATTGTCTGCAGTAAGCTATGATAACAAACAAATTAACAAATAGATTTTGGATTTACATACACTGTACTTTAAAGAGCAGAAAAAGTTGCAGTACCGAATGATCACGGCATGGGCGTACAGAACTGATGCATTGTTACTGTTTTGTATTAAACCTCTCTTTGCAATGTTAGAGGTCCAAAGGGATCAACCCTCCAATGAGTTTATTGGATCACTGAGAAAATCTCTTTAAAGCACAACTCCTGATTGGTGCACTCAAGAGATGGACTTCTTTTTCTGACAATCCAGGTAAAAGGAAGATTGTGTTGTCTCCATGGAATAATTTGTTTGCACGGAAGAGCTCCTCGCCTGAGCCTTGCTGGCACCAGTGGCCTATAGACCTCTTTTGCTTTCTTTCTAAAATTGTTCCCGACTATTACATACAGGAGTGGATTGATGCAGCTGTTACTGAAACCGATGTAGGTCGATATTTGGTTAAAGATTTCATTGGGTTGTTTTACAGAACACAAAGGGAAGACTTTAAAATTCAGCAACGTGTCTATAAAAGTCGATATTTGGAATGGAAGCCAACAGGCTACGAACACCAGCAGCACTGATAAAACCAACCACGTGGCTCTCTTTTCGTTTTTCATTTCCTTAAATTTATTCATGGTGTTATTTCTCAGGACATTTACAATCTGGAAGGAGCAATATCCAATGACTATTACAGGTATCAAGAAACCAATAACATTTAAGATGATATTGTTTAAAATAATCCATTCGTCCGATGGATATTCTATGATACATCCAGTGATGTTTAACTCTGCGATGTAGACAATTCTTCGGAAAACAATTTTAGGTAAACTCACACAACTATTGCAAAGGTCCAAATCATGGCGCAGATCACTTTGGCCCACCAAGGTCTTCTCATCCGTCCAAAAGACATGGTCTTCACTAAAGCCAAATATCGATCGATGCTGACCATCAATAAAAAGTAGATGCTGGCAAAGAGGTTTAACATGATCAAGGTGTTCACTGCAACACATAGGAAATTACCAAACTGCCAGCAGAACCCTCTAGAAATAGAAATAGCAAAAAAGGGTAGGCCACTGACGAAAACCAAGTCTGCGGCTGCCATGTTCCCCAGATAGATCTCTGCCACAGTGCAACGACTTTTATGAAGCAAAAAGACTGAAATGACGAATGCATTTTCTATGAATCCCAAGATGAAGATGAACCACATGTAGATTGGTTGGTAGTCCAAAAGCCATCGAAAGCCTTCAATGGAAAAACAGGACTCATTTGAAAATGTGGAATTTCCAGACATTGTGAGAGGGGTGACTGGCTCCTGTGGGAAAAAAAACAAAACTAGAGTTATTGGATGTTATGTAAGCTTTTAGCTGGCCTTAACCACTTGACCTCCAGAGGATTTACCCCCCTTAATGACCCCGCCTCTTTTTGCTACTCGGCGCTGCACTAATTCAACTGATAATTGCGCGGTCATGCAATGCTGCACCCAAACGAAATTTACGTCCTTTTTTCACACAAATAGAGCTTTCTTTCGGTGTAATTTGATCACCTGTGCGCTTTTTTTATTTTTCACGCTATAAACAAAAAAAGGCAAAAGATTTTGAAGAAAAACAATATTTTTTACTTTCAGCTATAAAAAATATATAGTAAACTCAAAGTTGGTTATAAATTTAGGCCAAAATGTATTCTGCTCCATGTTTTTGGTAAAAAAAAAATCCCAATAAGTGTATATTGATTGCTTTGTGTGGAAGTTATAGCGTCTACAAACTATGGTATAGATACTGCAATTTACACCATTTTTCAGCGCTAGTTTAACGGACAATTGCGCGGTCATGCAATACGATACATAAATGAAATTTACATCCTTTTTTTCTCCACAAATTGAGCTTTATTTTGGTGGTATTTGATTGCCTGTGCGGTTTTTATTTTTTGCGCTATAAAAAAAGTCTGACAATTTTGAGGAAAAAAAAACAATATTTTGGACTTTTTGCTATAAAACATGTCCAGTAAAAAAAAATGCAAAAATCCAATTTTAGTCATAAATTTCTGCCAAAATGCATTCTGCGACATGTCTTTTCTAAAAAAAAAATCCAATACCTGTAAATTAATTGATTTATGTGAAAGTTATAGCGTTTATAAATGGCGGGAAAGATACTGGGATTTTTAGGTTTTTTTTTATACTAATAATGGCGGCAATCAGCGAATTATGGCGGCAATGAGGGACTTATGGCAGTGACCAGCGACTTATGGCGGGACTGCGGGACTGCGGCGGACATTCTGACATTGGGGGGGGTACTGACTTGGGGTCACTGACATCCCCAAAAACACTAATACAGTGATCAG